CTTTTGTCTTTTCTTGGCAACCCAAGCATTGGGTCACCGGTAAACAAACCTTAATATTATTCATATAATTAAATAATACAAATCAATTATTCTTACACATTATATCAACTTTAATTCACTATTTATCCACTCACATGATTTAACTACCTATCATTTCCAATCATTTATCTCATACTTTTACATCAAATCAATTTTAATTATTTTATTTAAATATTATATTAATACATTCTTAAAATCTTACTCACAACTAACTATACCATTTTTTTTAATTATCTATTAATCAAAATAACTCACTTTAGACAAACTATTTTGTAAACAAGTGAGCTCTAAATAGTTTTTTTTATGAAAGTAGAAAAGACAGATAAGAATATGTATATTAATGTAAAACGATGACGTGGCTGTAAGACTTGGTTCTGCACAAGTCAACACTCGATTTTTCTTGGCACAAGGCAGCAGAACAGACATGGTTTTGTTTATTTGGCTACTTGCTTTTAACATCAATACAATTATTTTTGAAAATGCTGCATTCCCGTTATAAAATCATTCTGTTGGAATTTATAGTCGTTATCATAATGTAACCGGTGTGGATAATTAATCTAACGGTTATAAATTCACCCGGCATAGTTCCGTAACGAGACCTTGGAATCTCCCATTAATTTTAACCAATGAAAAATTAATCTGAACTGAACACACGGAAATCTCATTTATCCATCATTATTCATTTCAACTAACTAACAACAATTTTGAAATTCAATGGTAACAGAAGCCAATTTTCTAAATAACGAACTCAAATTTCTCCACATTTTTCTTAATCATCACGTTCCAACTAAAATTCTAATAAAAAAACTCAATAAAACTGAATATTTTCGTTGATTTTTTTTTTATTTAAATATATGGAAAAATTGCACTATTCGTCCACTAACTATACTCTCGTTGCACTTTCGTCCTTTAATTGTTTCCGATTTACAATTGGTACACTAACTTTTTTTTTTGGTAATTTTAGTCCAAAATTACATTCCGGAGCTCATTTTCGCCGGAATAGTTGATGTGGCGCCTAGTCAGATCGGAATTTCCATTCTCGGCGTGATGTGGCACGAGGTGACGCCTAGTCAGATCGGAAAAATTGCACTATTCGTCCACTAACTTTACATTCGTTGCACTTTCGTCCTTTAATTGTTTCCGGTTTACAAAAACAGAAAAAAATATTAAAAAAAATCAAACGAAAAATAAAACCTTTAAAAAGAAAAAGAAAAAATCAAAAGAAAAAGAAAAAAATATAATTTTTTAATTTAATAAAAAATTAAATATTTAATGATTAAACAAAAACGAAATATTTAATAAAAACGAAATAAATTTATAATGAATGGTAAATATTTTTTATTTAATGATTAAGTATTTAATACAAAAACAAAATATTTAACAAAAAATAAAAAATATTTTTTTAATAAATATTTAATTTTTCGTTAAATATTTAACCATTAATAAAAAATATTTATTAAATATTTATTACTCATGAAAATATTTATTTCATTTTATATTTATTTTTTTATTAAATATTTTTTATTTTTTTTATTTAAATAAAAAATATTTTTTCATTAAACAAAAAAATGATAAATATTTTTTTTATTAAATATTTAACCATTAAATAAAAAACATTTATTTCTCATTAAACATTTATTTTGTTTTTAATTTCGTTTTTTATTAATTATTTCGCTTTTAATTAAATAAAATATGTATTTTTATTTTTTTTTTAAAAAAGGATATTTTTTATTCATTAAACAAAATAATTTTTTTATTAATTAATATTTGTTTTTTTGTTAATTTGTTTATCCACGTGTATTTTATTTTTCTTTTTAAAGCTTTTTCTTTTTCTTTTGCTTTTCTTAATATTTTTTTCTTCTGATTTTGTAAATCGGAAACAATTAAAGGACGAAAGTGCAACGAATGTAGAGTTAATGGACGAATAGCGCAATTTTTCCGATCTGACTAGGCGCCACCTCGTGCCACATCACGCCGAGAATGAAATTCCGATCTGACTGGGCGCCGCCACATCAGCTATTCCGGCGAAAATGAGCACCGGAATGTCATTTTGGACTAAAATTACCAAAAAAAAAAGAAGTTAGTGTACCAATTATAAACCGGAAACAATTAAAGGACGAAAGTGCAACGAATGTATAATTAGTGGACGAATAGTGTATTTTTTCCTAAATATATTATCATTTTTTTTCATTGAAATGTGTCATTTTTTTTTATAGTGTTGTGATATAGATTGTCTTCGTTCATCCACACCAAAGTATCAAATATGACGAACACATTGAACTGACAGAGAAAAAGAAAGAAGATGAGAGAGCAATTAATGAAAGTTGTAAGATCTTCATTTTATT